TTTTCTCTCTCTTATATATATATATATATATATATATATATATGCACTTTCCTAGGCAAGACGGTGTTCGGGTTATTGTCGATTCTATCACCGAATTTCGCCATTGATTTTGGTATTTACCACGGTCGTACACTCTTTTTTCACTCTTGTTTAGTTCGTTATACTTTATACATTCATTGACATTTCATGGCGGTCTTGGGTACTATCTTTCAGAAGCAAATTTAGGTTGTACCAATAAAGGTAAGAACTAGAACTTTGGGATAAATATCGAAGTGAATATAGAAATTCAGATGGATTGAGGTTGTAAGGATATTGAGTAAATGCACGAGCGCCACTGGTCACGATGTTGAGCCGCATCGCAGTTCCTCAAACCACTGATAACATTGATCCCTAGGTTCCTAACTGTGAGACCTAACGCGGCCTGAACGGCCGATTCCCCTGTTCGGGGGCTTCATACTCATGGCAGGTTTTAGTTTAACTGTACGCTAACATTTTTGCAAATGTGTGACACATAACCAAAATCCAAACCAGGTTGATTAACAGTATTCTGCGGTTTTTAATTATAAGAATCCACAAACGCAATGCAAACCTTAATCGTGCGGCCATCAGCACTCAAACAAACCAAACCGAATGTAGCGTCCAACGAATTCGAACACGTCAGTCACGGGGCGTTTCCACGCCCAAGTGCTGAAAGTGGTGGCCATTGAATAAAAAGATGAACCGAAATGCTTAATGCGTGTGTATGAAAAACGACGCGCTCTACCGAAACAAAATCCAATTGTAGGGAAACGGGATAGATTTTCAGTGCATATCGAATACATTGATCGCCTATGACCTTTTTCCGACCACTACCTGTCGCGGCAAACGTCGCCCTTTGAGGCAATATTTGGTATCTTGCATAGCCCGTCCTCCATCCAATACAGTCTATGGAGGTCGGGCAACTGGTGTTTTCCATTAACGTCAAGTATCATCGATTTGACCTCGATAATATCCCAGTCACTATCCTTTGCACAGACGATTCCAACACTCCCATAATTCCATCCAATTTATATAACTTATTGATAAATTTAACAACTGTGCACCAATGGAAAACCATAATTTTGCCTTACGTAAACGAGGATCAAATAATGAATTGGGAAATTACCATCCTGTTAGCTTTACTCAGATAGTCTCTCGAATCACACTACTACTACTACTACTACTACTATTAGTAATAATAACAGGTGTATTTCACGTGTGATAACTTAGAGCATGTTGGTCTGAATGAATAACGTATTTTGCATGTTTCTGGCCGGTCTGTCTACCACTTGGAGCATATCGATTCGGCTTTTCTCACACGAGGGTGGGTCTGTTTCCAGAATCATACCGATTGCAAAGTTGAATAGAGAAGGACAGAGAGAACTACCTTAACGAACACTACTTCCTCACGCACGCGTTTGAATAGCTCTCTCTCATCTATTTGTAGTTCTTCCTCTCTCATTTCCAAACCATACGAGATGTAGTATTGTTTCATATTGGAGTCTGATTGCCACCACTCGTATTTCTTTAAACCCTCTGAATGGTTAAGTTATACACCTCCGTGGTCAACGTTTTGCCACCTTAAGCGTAATGCTTTCGGTGGGCTACTTCTCACTCACCGATATCATAATGGGCTAGGTTTGGAACATGTCATCATCAACTCCACCGTCTAGGTTTTCTCCAACCCGTTATCACAGTCTGCTCAGTTTCAGCTCATTTGGTCCTCACCTTTGTCTCAGTTGTTGTCTTTTGACTGCTCATTTGGATGAGAGTGGATAGAATGAGTATAATGTTGTAAGCAGTATCAATGAGACACCTGGTCATCCATCAGCTTTGTACTGTATAGCATATCCTATTAATCGCAAAAACGCACAAAATACATCTAATACGAAGCTTGTCCCTCTTGGAGGCACATGACGATTTCGAATTTATTACTTGATTCAGGTGATTTGCCATGTGGTTGTGAACTATATGATCAGCTTATCGATCCCACTTTACTTCACTTCATCGTAGCAATACATCGTTTCGAATTTATGCACGCGGAGAACCCGAGTGTGTTGCATTTTATATCTCAGCAGACATTGCTGTCTATCTGTCACGCGAAATCTCCATCTTGAATAGACCGACGGACTGTTTGGGAGGCAAGCAACAACAAGTATTTGCTGCTACACCCTCATCCGGCTGCTCTAATCCAATCATGAGTAGTATCGATTTTTGGGTCTCGACACCTGCTTAAGTGGCGTGACGAGTCATGTGATTAGTCGTCTGATTTGTTCGCCGTCAGTGTGTGTTTTTCTCTCGATGACTCCGGACTATAATTTGGTGATATGCTAATAATAATTCTTTTATCTGTTCGTTTTTAATCATTTTGTTGCCTTTCTTGACGTATCATTCGCTACTAGACCCCGACTGAATTCGGGGAAGTTTTGAACAGTTTAATTTTCCAAGTGTCGGTTTCTAAAACCCGGAGCCACATGATGACACCGTAGATGTGCTGTTTGGTACGTTTGCTTCAAACAGCATGAAACCACTTGTTCTGTACTGTTCACGGCCAATTCTGTGCCCTTTACCAGAGAATATATACATATTACATGAGAGGAATGAAGTATTGGTTTGATCATATGGTGAATGTCGTTGTTTAAGGAGCAAATGAAGGGGGAACTAAAAAGCGAGGAAGCACTTTACAGCTGTTTCGACCTGGTTGGCTCTCATCAGTAGTGCGAATCCATCGACCTGACCGTGGATAGAACTGGGGACCTCACAGATAGGACGCAAACGTACTACCCACTCGGTCACCGAACAGCTGACTGGACCGTTTTTAATCTTCCTCATAGGCGATATAGCCCAATCCAATTTAGTGAGCTTAATGCAGGAATCGACGAAATGCACCATATAATCAAACCAAATCCTCCGTTCCTCTCGTGTTACTTGTTTACTGCAGTTCCTTTTTTTAAAAATCAACCACGCGTTCATTGTTTCCGTGTGCCGAGAAAATCATGGTACAATAATCTTTATAAAAAAGAAAATGTTCCATGATTGGCTTGTGGGCTGAGTACTGCCAGGTTGTCCAGGCCAAGGCAGGTGAATGTTCTTGAAGAATCCACAACCGGAGCCTTCGGCTAGCCAAAGCCTGACCCGCAAGGCAGCGGGGCGGTGTGTGAAAACCGCAGTCTATTGAGAGCTGGTGTCCAGTTCATCGGATCATACGCCCTTCGGCCCGGGTCAGACGTCCAAGGTGCCCAATACACCTCAATGCCCAATCGAGCCGGTGACCACTGCCAAAACCGAAAAGGTGTGGGTGTGGTTCGTACGCCTCCTCATGGTTGGTTTGGAATCAGGGTTTTGGCCAACTCCCCTAGGTGAACTGCCAGTGGTCCACCAACCCGGCTATAGCCCCGGATATCGGCTTTTCGTCGTCTCACTTTGTTGGGAAAACACCTGTGCCACGAGAAGGCAGTGAGTAGGCTTCCTTCGTAGAGGCTGTTTGAGACACTTGGTAGTATGGGAGCATTTCGTGAGGTGCAAGGGTAGAGTGACCAGGCGCAAGCCTAGACACCCACCCCCGACCATACCAAGGCCTTTGGAGGCCATTTTTTCCCTACTATTATTCATATTATGTACTCTCAATGCATGAGTTTTTTTTAACTTTGTGTCATTGGTAATATGATTTCAATTGATAGCTTTAAGTATCATGCTTATTTGATAGGTTAATGAACCCGAATTTTGGAGTCATCCTCACGCGCACGCTCATAGATTGAGCTACTGCATCATTGTTATGCTCAAATCAAATGATTATCTGCAATGAACTTATGACAAGGATTGTTGTAAATCCGCGTTTCTAGCCCCACTGTCAAGCTGGTGTCTTTGATTACACGCCTTATTCCGCCAGTGGTCGTGAACGCCCTGTATATTTGTTCTATAGGGATGTAGATCAATTACTGGAATAGCCCATCGGCTTCTGTACGTTACGTTTTTCGTGATTGTTATACGTTCTGTCGGAATTTTTAGATATCGATGAAAGTGAACAGTGAGAAATTTCTGTATGCACTTCAGAAGTTAACGATACTTACCAATAAAAACATCACTATAGGTTTGGCTATTAAATTTAACTGGTTGAACAAAATTAAATGACTGTTTGTCATCAGGTTTTGATCACTAAAAAAATCTGCAATTTATCTTTTCGCCAGTGATTGAACGGGTTATTCAGTTTAAACAATCGCATCGCGCTGTTCCTCTTTGAGATTGAATGACTGTCAGTCGGGAGATCGATAATGTATATTTTTATTCTTTCTTACCCTTACCTCACTCAACTTTTAGTACCTGTCGCGCCGCTTTCGAAACCATAGAGAAGCGCTTTTTACCGATGTACGTGGAAAGTCCGGAATATCTGTGTCATGTGTTAGGTATCAGTCAGCGCACAATGGGACCGTGTCCTGGGTGAGTTCATCATTCATCCCTCTCCATGTCTGTGACTTACCTCTCCCAGTCTGTCTAACCAACGGCTTTTGTTTTACAATCATAGTTTTCCAGATAATGGAAACTAAATATCTGTAACTTTCTTTTCACACAGGCCTCACTCTTTCTTGATGGTCGTTGGCATACATTTTGTTATCTGTTTCAAGTACCTCCTATACAGTCAGATCATACAGTCTTAACAAAGTCAACTTCAAGCACTCTATCTATCATTAACAAACAGTATCGATTATTCGAATTGCATAGCCGTTCTACAGTTGCGAACCGTGGCGATCAGGGATGCAAACGGTTTGAATTGAACGAGCTGCTGCAACTGAATCGAAGTTCTTCTTAGTTCACAGTTTCTTGCGTGCCTCTCGGGATAGATGAAAAACGAGTTGATGAAAAAGTGCGTTATCAAAGTTCTTGTTCAATAGCGTCTGATGGAGATAAGCGAAAGCATCATACCTAGTGCGACTGAGTGAACGGAAGTTTTTTTAGAATAATCCGACGGANCCGCGATTTTCAAGTTACAGTTCGGTGTTTTAAAATGGACGGCACTAGGCAAGCAAAATCGTATGGTGACCTCAAGCACTGTTGCTGATTGTCCGCAACCGCGTCTTCCGTGAGCCTAGACTCACCTTGATGACATTTAGTCACCAGTTTGGTGTCCCACTCTCTATCCGCAACTCGGCAGTGTGTGTGTGTGTGTGTGTGGAGGGGGGGGAGTTGATGATGGATGGAGCTTCTCATATTGTCGAATTCTGTCGGTGAATTATTTTTCCCATTCCTCGTTTCGCCTGTTCCATCCCCCGTTGTTTATCAGATGTGCTTCTAGCTCTGTTTGATTCTTTCTCTTCCCTATCGGATTGTTTAGAGGCAATTTACCCCAGGTGCATTCCTTCTCATGTACTAAGTCCCGTACGTGTTTATGTCACGTTCGCTTATAGACGATGTCGTATGTGTTGACCACACCAACCGCACCGTGTTACCTGATCACTGAAGACATCCAATGTTGCTATTCCACCCCGGAAAAACCGGCGCAACGTGGAGTGTTAGTTCTGTTATTAACAAGAGGAATCATACAGTTGCGTTGGTGTAGGACGCGTCGACATCAGTACAAGAGCATATTGAAGAGGTGTGCATTTTCGTGCCAACAACTCATTTAGTTTGCGCTTTATTTGAAATAAGTGCTGAAGAATAAAACATGGTCACATGGGTCTCAGAAAGTGCACATGTTTCTATTATTACATGAATGATTTCAGATACTTGTCATTCTGTATTTCCCACTTGGAGATTTAAGGAATGCCTCGTTTTAGTTACTTATTCAATGCCTGAATTTTAGCATTCGTTCTGAGGGTCCGTATACAACGGCAACAGCACTTATGATGCTATTTGCACTCATCGGGAACATTAGACCAGTCCCTTCGTCTGAATGGATTTAGTCATCGAGCTCTGCCTGATAAACCGATTGGGCTATCAATTCCCGTCACTGTATTTTCTAGGAAAAGTTTCATCCAGGTTGGATTCAGGTTTTTTGCGCACCTGTGCACCCTTATGCGATTTTTTAAGCAGACTGTCTTCTTTGGTGTATCACAACCGTTCAGTTAATTGACGGGCATAATTCTACGACAAAGCTGCTTGCTGTCTGTCGCGGATAGGATAACGACCACTAAACCGGCGACTAGCGGTGCATAAGATAAGCTCAGGTTCACCGGTTGAGTCCCCACAGATGAGTTCTAGGTTTTACCCAGAAAAAACCTCATGTAAGACGCTCCAAAAATCAGACGACAGCAGTTCGACAGTGAATGTGGCCCTCCGCTCAACAAGACGTTCCATAGGGAGCAAATGAACCAAACGGCTGACCATTAACTTACCCAGAACAACCCGGCTACTAAGCAGTTTGCTTTTGGTCGTAAGTTTATTCTTGAACACGTTTAGTAATCCTATTCCCAAGAATTTCCGTGACTCATCGTGCACCATGGATTCGATGTTACCTTCAAACTGTAGACTGTCGTGTACGTTGACCTAAATCCAAACTAGCGTGATTGGTCGTTCGAAAAAAAACCGTGTCGTTTTTTAGGTCACTTATGACCCACTCCGTGATATGAACCGAGATCGCTAATTTTCCTTGGCTGACGCCGTTCTATTTGTATAAAATACTCCTTTGCTGGCACTAAGCTAAACAGTCAAGCACAAAAATCCTCATTTTTCTATAATGGCAATTTTTAAGAACCTTTGCTGATATCCAAGTAAATGTAAAATGTTGTGATATCACTTGAACCTGTTACCGCTCCTCTCCACGGACCTGTCATCAATGGGATTGAATTCAATGGTGGTGTTTCACTGCATCGCCGGCGTCACTTTCCAACAACTACTGACAACTGCTTTTGACGAGAAAGATTTGCGAGTGATTGTTAAGGAGGACCTAGGGTGTTCCAAAGATTGTGTCAGAACCTCATAAATCGTTCCTAATCGAGCAGGACTACTTCAAGCTGTTTTGAGACCTGTTTTCTCATTTCCTTTCATGATTGGTTCGCTTTCGAAGTGCCTCATCGACGTTTTCATTTCGTAGCTGGGAAACATGAGAACAGTAAAAAAACATCAAAAGATTGCACTGTATGACCCATGTTGAAAGTTTGCGATACTAGGTTTCTATTTCTTTCAGGATGATTAAGTTTGGAAGTTATGACCCTCGTATATTAACTTGTGTCCATCTAACCATCCATGTGGTGCTTCGCTGACATTGTCCACAGATTGTCTCTAGGGTCTTCTTGTGGTCCAGAAGGGTCTGTCAGATTACCGACGATGACGAGGCTTTCGAATTCATTACACAGAACATCGCGTTCGAGGTGGATGTCTTAGCTTGCAGGTAGACAGGTTATATATTCATATGTCTACACCGAGTGGAAACAACCCTTGTTCGTTTGTGTGCAAATCTTTCACTGTTTATTTATCACCGCATTCTGACTGACAGTCACTGTGTCTGTGCGCATGGCCACGCACAATTGCATTTACTCTGTTTATTCTATCATGCAACTGATCCGTACCTCGGTGCCGACGTATGATCGATACGGTTGAATCCGGTATATTAAGGTTTTTGCTTTCTCAAAACATATAGATCATCTCTTGGAACGACGATAGGCTAGCTATATGTCAGTTTTTGCCAGTTTTTCCGCATAGCACGCGCTGAGTGTGAATAAGAATATCAGTTCATCCTCGGCGGCCGCGGCCGCGGCCGCGGTGGTGTTGTAGGAGGGGCGGATGCTTGTTGGCTTGTGAATCACTCTATCCGACTCGCACAGTTATCGTGAATACTTCTGCACCAGTTCATGGGGTTATCCTGTGAGACGTACCGAAAGTTTGACCACTTTTTTGGTTTCGTCCAACTGTGACCCGATAAACACACATACACACAGAGGGGTTACCTGCAAACCAGCTCCAGTTTTTGCTTGTATCACTGCAACGTCCCATCTCTCTGATCCGCAAAATGTGTGTTGGTCTCTTTTCAGTTTGTTGCGCCCAATACCAAATTTTTTTCCATCTACACTGCTAATATATGGTGTTCGGATCAGGTTTCACAATCCTCAGTTTGGCACTTGCGTGCTCATTTCTAATTTACCTTAAAGTCAATAAAAACAAACAGACAAATAAGACGTGACTAACACAATCGAACCACAGTTTGATTCAGGATGACGTTTTTGTGCTGACGAGGAACAAGCCATGATAACGACTCGCCACATTTGGTTATTTGACCATTCAAATTTGTCACGGGGCGATTGTGCTTCCAATTCGGCTATTTCCCAATTATGGGTACTGCTGGATTTATACCCGGAGCATCTTACAATATCAGTTTGTGATTGTTTTGCACTGAATGTTATCGTGAACTCAATTCATTAAGATATCTCTACATGGACACTTCATCCCCTGTTTATCTTTGTTTTGAATAAAGAAAGTCATCTTGTAAATTTGAATGTCCAACTCGTCCGTTACCTAGTACGATAGGGATTGTCGAGCGAGTTTTCATTGCACACTATTATGTATTTGATGAACAGCAAAAGGGGTTGAATTCTTTAAGCTTAAAGATGTACTGTTTGGTCGCGAAAAACGGAAACAGTGTTTAATACCCCTGTTAGGATTGGTGTACGATCGAGTCGGGTTATGACGAAACTGTCTGTTCCATCCAATTGGTTGTGACGGATTTGAATGAGTGATAGCCACTTAAATCGCTTGACCGTTCAACATATTGTGATAATGCAGTGCATGCGTAGTATTCGCGCTGGAGCCCGGCACACCCGATCTGACGGTCGTGATTGGCTTCTGTGTGTGTTGTTAAACTGCTTCAGAGTTAGTTTTTGATAAACAACCGCAGACATGTACAATCAAGCAAAGACACTTTGTTGGAAGTTTCCTTTGGGGATATGTGCTGGAAAGTCATTCGGAATTGAAAGAATAAGTCGTTAAGCGATTGAGCTCCGCATGTTAGCCACGCCTTTGCACTACCTGTATGCTCTCAACTATCCGGTGATGAAAATCGGAATTTAAGTCATTGATGCCATTTAATTCGATGGTTGTTTGGCCCCAAGAAACGGTCACCAGCAGACCTATTAATGTATACAGTCTCGATGCTGCAATTTGTTTATCATTGTCACGGTGTACTGCTCTCGTACCCCACCAATTGGTTGTCTACTGTTGACCTACTTTCCCATAAGAAAAGTGATCTTCTGAGATCAACTATGTTAACCACTAATTCATTCGGTTCAGGTGGTCCGTTTTGATCTGTGCTCGTAAACGATTATCACATCCGTATGCCAAGTAGACATACATCAAGTAATATCATGAAGTAATTCACCAAAAACTGCTCTTTTTCTCTTCCTCTGTTTCACGGGAAGGATTCGACGAATAACAAGAAACGAAACTGTTTGAAAATCTTTATTCAATAATTCGAGAGTCTTTCATGACTCTGTGCTTTTCTCATACTTTTTTCAATATTTATCCTTGACCTACCCTTTATTCCCTCCCCGAGTCAGAATCTTTAATTTTATTATTGGTGCGGTTTTGTATTGAGCCACATTGAATCGGTCTTTCTCGACCTTGTCTTCTAATAGTTTACTACAAGTGCAAAAATTTCAAATCCATTTTTTTCTTTATCTGAACATGTATTACGAAGCACAATTGAACCGTTTACAGTGTGTCGATTGTTTTTATTGAAAAATGGGCACATTCTCACTACTGGGGACATTGTTGATGGAAACTGTTGCTCACGTGTCCGAAATGAAACTTCTCGCCCCATAATTTGTGTACCGGGAGACAGTGCTTCAATTAAAATTGGAGCACTATTTCCGGCTTTGTTCTCGCTTGCCTCCATTCCCGAACTGACTGTGGTGATTGATAACAGTATTGTGTTGACCACTTAACACCCCCACCCTAGTTACCATGTTCTGATTAAAAGACCCCGGTGACAAAAGCCACAGGTGTTTCTCTCTTCGGGGAGAGTTATCACTTTCTGCTTGAATCGTTATTACGGTCGCATCGATTGAGTACAAGCGCTAGTGGACGAGGGGGAGAGGGGGTTGGGGTGTGAGTGGGTGACAATGGCATCTGAAACGAGTGAATCCACGGGTGGTGGGGTGATAAGTTGACTTTGTTCTGTACCGTCGTTCCACTGTTGAGTTGCTCCGTAAAGGGAAATGCTAATGCAAAATACAGAAACCGATCCAGCCACTGCTCGATCGTTGATATCCGATTGTTGAAATAATCGCGCTCTATAAACGGACGTGACTCGAGCTGTGCTGTGTATGCGATGAAACTGATGCATTGTTTGGTCTCAGAATAGTAGCGGTCATCACTTTTAGTGTGATCATATGCTCGTTATATTTTTCTGTCCGTTTGCTACACGACAATCGTAACGTCAGCTTTCATATCACAAGTCGTTCTCATTGCGCACTGTTAATTCCAGGTTTGTTAGTGAAAAACCACTGATAGGATGGCGACTATGCAAATAGATAAGAATCAGAAAAACGCACGTGATCCCAGAAAATCCCAGAATCACACTGTACACATAATCCTCCATCGATTGATTCTCTGTTAAAAGTGGTGAAAATTCTCGAAGGGCACCGATGGAGGTAACCGTACGGTTTAAGCTGTGTTGTATAGTTTGGACCCACTTCACCATTTTTGCTCACTTTTGCTCGTTCGACGAGGATCTGGACGTGGGTTTTAGGATGGAAGACTGGATAAAAACAGTTGTAGGGACGTGAGGTGATCTTCAAATCAACCTCTAAATTGTTCGAAAATTCCTTGACGGATGATCAACTTCTTGCACTACGCACAGGACCCAACAACCAGTTGATATATATATATATATCCAAAATTGCACTTCCTGGATACAAGTATATGAATGAACTCACAAGAGGTCACCAGATACGCATGTCTGCCGGGCGACAAGAACCGTGAAACCAGTCGTGTGCTTCCGGAGTAACTTTGTCGATTCATACTTATTTATACTTATTTCAGTATGATTGCTTTCTGAGTTTACGCTATTGGAACAAACTTTATCTCTGGTAATATATATTTTTGTTTATCTCTGTTGAACCCCTGTCTCCCTTTCTATTTGTTCCCACCTCTCAACTCTACTGATTTGCATTTGTTGCATGCACTTTCTTCCGTGTCAATCGTGATAATGCATCGGTGATGGTTTGTATTGTTATTCTTTTTTGTCCGGTCAATGGGAGGTTTATCTTTCTCGGTTTTCTTCCTGCTTTCGACACACACACTTGTGTGCCAGTTTGATGCACGGTGAGGAACGTCCTGGATTTCGGCGCTCACATAGAACTGCCACACATTCACGCACGGCCGCTCGGATTCCATCCAGAAGGTCGCGACAAATCCCGTTGAGATCAGTTGAAATGATTATGAACTCGGTTTACTCGCTTCGTGAGGTCTTAGACGAGACGATTCAAGATGTTCTAAGTCCTCCTAGGTTAGTTAAGGTATACACGACAAGATGCACTCAAGGGGTTAGTTAAGAACGTGACGGGAAGACAGGACGGTATTTAACATTTTTCCAGATCTGTTGAATGAAATCTATCATTTTTCGTAGATTAAGTTGTTCCGTCAATTTTTGAATTGCTTTTCCTTTGGATTAACCTTTAATCGGTACAATTACGTTTGGAGTAGGAACTAAGTTGTATATGATGTTGTGAACAAATTGGTCTTGTTTCTCCATTGTACACATTGTACACATGATTAAATTAGCAAAATCCCCAGACCTTGAGGTTTGTCTTCTTCCATAAGTGATTAATCTGAATCAACTGTCGTGCTAATGCCAACTTTGCTTTCGTTCTAACGCGAAAGAAAGCTCAGTTCAGTCAACTTCTAAAACCATTAACTGTGCATCTCTGCGCGGCGGTTTTAGTTGCCGATTTCGAGGTCTTCACCCAGGGAGCTCAACGAGACAAGGGGAAGCTAAATCGCTATGGTACATTGTTCTCGGTCATTCGAGTTCTTATCCCCGGGGCGGAATTACGCTGACGGCTGGTGCTGGTCCGATTCATGATTTAATCACTTAGTTCCTCAGTGTATTGTTTAGGGTTCTGAAGTCTCATGAATACTATTGAAGAAGTGAATTTGTGACCAAGGAAGATAGATGACCACGTATCAGGAATAAGCCGTGGTCTTCTGTGCTCTCGGTGGCGGCACTACTCGGTAGCGCTTAACAGGTTGAGTTGACTAGTAAGATCACGTTTGTTTTATCTGTACTTCCTTTTATTGAATGTATTTAACAATACTGATATTTTTCAGGGAGAGGGGAGTGACCAGTCAAAGGGCTGCCGAAATCCCAGAAGTGGTCTCAATGAAAACCGGGCAGTCTGTTTGTCCTGTCGTTTTTTGGTGATCTCCGCTCTCAAGTATCGAACTGCTGATATAGGATCTGTAACCTTTACTGAGCGTTCTTAAGTTAAAAACAGTCAGATACACTCGAATCTTGATATGAGATTTTTGTCATTACCCCGAATTCCAAGAGGTGACTCGAGTGAATGGCTGCATCAAGAACCGAAATGTTTTTGAGCACTGCGTTCCGTCTTCACTGCATGGTTTTTTCGCAACACATTTTTTAAATGACAATGCGGAATCATGAGCGTTTCTGTTACTCCGCGCACACCCACATTCATTCACGCACACATGCTAACATCACTTGGTCAAAGGTGTGTGTGTGTGTGTGTGTGTGTGTGTGTGTGTGTGTGTGTGTGTGTGTGTGTGTGTGTGTGTGTNGATTCAAACTTGAGAAGTATTTCATCCATGCACCCCGTCCTCATCTCCCATATCGATTTTCCAGCTCACCTAAACTAATGAATTCTCCGAATCGCGTCGGTCCAGAAGCACAGCCAATTTCAGGCCCAAGTCTGTTTGGCAATTCGCTGAAGAACATGTTTAGCAGTAGTCACACCGGTACGTGTTGCGGAATTTGTCAACTCATGTTTTTCGTTTGGCTTAGGCATATTCCATCCTCGAATGACAAATGGAATGTGTTGCTAGTTTTTTTACTTCGTTCCCCTTGCGGTTAGGATGTGCGCCGAATTTTTTTAACCAAAGGTTCGTTGATTTTGACGAATTTATGATCCGTGAACACGTTGCGTGTGGAATTCACTTAAGAATGGTTCGTACAAATAGCGCGCGAGTATTTTTGTTTGATGTTTCGGCCACCGGTACAGTAACTCAGTGCATTACAGATCTAATGAGAGCATCATATAGATAAAAGTGTTACAAATGAAGTTGATAGAGCGACACTAGTGTTTGTCTTTTTTTGGTCCTTACTGTATCACGGTTTCCACGTGTCTATCAGGTGGGTCTTTCGGTCACCAGCAAAGTTCAATGTTCGATCTATGCATATGGACGGTCCACTGACCAGGATTATCATACATTCTCCCATAGTCGATAGTTGCCTAAAACTACTTTTACTGATCGATATTTCACGCCGGTATTCCGGAAACCACGTGGAATACAGTCCAGCTATCCCAATCAAGTCGTATCAGCCGCATACCTTGCTGCACAACTAGAAATACCCTATTGCATCATGCTCCGTCTGTTCGTTTGGCTAAACTCGTGCGACACTACAGCAACATCAGTACTCCATTTTCAATGAATGCCATTCATTCTTTGCGTAGAGTTCACATCTGTGCAACGATCAACTAGTCCAATTTGAGTCGGGTCGCTTATACTCAACTCGTGTCGGACAGGGGATGTATCACACGGGATTACCGTATATGCTTCGAATTCGCACAGACTAGCTATGTGCATTCATGCTCATGGGATGTAAGTGCAATCGAACAAAACGAGAATTAAAAGAAACCAGATCTCCTCAACAGCGTAACATGAATAAATTGATGCTCTTCAAGTGTATATTTTCTGTGCAGCTATAGTAGTAGAATTTGGCTGAAATATTTCAAGCAATATTTCAAGTTGACGGTTACCGTGTGATGAAATCCGGTAAAGTTGCAGATGAGTGTTAATGTGTAATCGGCTAATAAAATCCAAAACCAATGCCTATCTTCGATGCTTGTCATTGGTGTGTGCGCGCGCGTGCGCGCTTGTGTGACAAATACACTTTCGTAAAAAACGAGGCGGGGTGGGGGACAAAGCGAAGCAAATGTGAATATACACGTACCATTATCGCTCGACCCCGTTTGGATGCGCGGTATTCTATTCAGATTGTTCTGTTCATTCAACTTACATCGTTGTCTTCAGGCAATCAGTGATCTATGATCCTGTCCTGTGAGTTGAGTCATCCATTTTTCTCTGTTCATACTCACTTGCATACAGTCACATGCTGCCTCACATACGCACGTGCATCAACTGAGTGATAATCGCACATACACGCACACACGCTCACATTCACGTGTGTGTGTGTATTGAATGGTTATATTTTACACGGGTCTGAGTGCAGACTGCGTGCCAAGCGAATCACGGTGCAACAATTCTTCTAACAAAACAATGAATGTAATATACAGGGCTGACCCCAGCTCTGCATTCACTCACAACGCAAGGGCAGGCTGTTGAGTCCGAGTTCTTGTACACTAGCGTCGTCCCAAAAGCCGCACATAGTCCTTGGCCACTCACCGACGCTCTTAGTGTACAGGTAGAACACACTTATGACGATAGGTTCTCCGTGAAGGGGCCTTTAAACAAACTTACGGATCGGGAAGATAAAAAAACATAAACCAGGAGATCCAAATGGCTTGTACACGACTCACACTCAATCACAAGTAACTGCACCCATGCCTTCACTCTAAGTCTATGATTTACTCGAATACTGCGGTACTGTACAAATCAACACGGGTGAACTTTCTTATTGAATTTGCAATTGGAGCCTTCAGTTAGCTAAAAGCCACAATTCATTGGGGGGGGGGGCAATGCACTATTAATTAGGTCATGTGCCCTTTGGACGGGATCACACACATTGATGCCAAATCAAACTGGAGTCACTACTTTAACCAGCAAGTTGTGGGTGTAGTTCTTATGCCTATTGGTCGATTTGGAAACACCTTTCACCGACTCCTCTAGGTAAACGGCCTTTCACCCTCTCATTCTCGTGGGAAAATACCTTCACCACGTAAAGATAGTGGATATAACTCGTTCAGTAAAAGATGCTTGAAACGTTTGATCATATAGGAGTACTTGAACAGGTGTAAGGGAAGGCTGGTCTGCCGCAACCTGTGTCGCCCAGCTCTGTTCAAACTGGGGACCTCATTGGTGCGTTCGTTTCACGCATTCTTCTTCCCCGATCTGTTTTGCTCGATCGCATGATCAGCGTAACTGAAGCGGACGAATGAAAGGGTGGAAGCAGCCTCATGTACAGTTCCATAATCGGGAGACGCATTTTTCCTAATCGTCATACTGACGTAAGCTCGTGACATTCAGATTACTCACTTGAGCCTTAGATTTTGTTTTGATAGTTTTGATAGAGTTTTTCCTTTCATCTAGTGTTTTTCTTGATATTCAATCTCAGAGAAGCTCTTCGGGCCCATTTAATGACATCAAGATAATTGACCTAAAGAGAGAGGGAAAGAGAGCAAAATCGACTGCGTCAGATCAGACCGAGGTTCGAAGAGATTGCAAAAGACACTGCGCAGTGTTACTCAGGCCCGAGAACCTTTACTGCGGACGACCTTTCCCGTTGTTTTTTTTTACTGCTGATTCGGATTTGTTGACTGCCGATGATTGCGGTGAGATTACTAACTAGTCCAGTCACTAACATTGATCGGTTGGCAATAACTACGCTAGGGTCGGATAGCTACGTTCAGTCGAGTCGTTTTGAACAACTTTGCTGTTTTCTACCAAGTAGAAAAGTGAATTTTGCGTATGAGGGCATATCTGGAGCTGTACACGATAGTATGGTTAAATTTGTAATCCGTTATACAGGTTTTTAATCGATATCTGATGGCAATATGCTTTATTTAAGTTCGAGGCTGGCCGCGTCGTAGGTAGCAATTTTTTGCCATCCATGATCGTCGAAAATTGATAAGTGTGATAAGTATGAGTGGTTGCCGAAAACGATCATCGTTATCTGTTCTGAGAACAGCAAAACTATGATGAACTTCAAGTGCAGTTTCACTCACATATATATATATATATCACCAATTTTTGCGTTGAAGTCTCCAGTTAATGTCTCAGTGTCTGTGTCCTCTGATGTATTGGTTTGGGAGCTGATGATAAAGGGTGTCGTCGGTGCTGCGAGCTTCAAAGTGAGTTAACGCAAGATTGACCATTGATTGAGATTCATTCACTGAAAGCTGTTTCACTACTTAAATCTCCAGTGAGTAATAAGTTAAACCTAGTTTTATCCTTGTCTGAGCGTTCCGGTGTCAAAAGCATTGCGAACAGTGGTTTCTGGATGATCGAAAAAATAGATAAATGTTTTTCAATTTCATTTATTTTGTACTGAGTATACAAAAGTAAAGTGAATTTTCAGACAGGAAGCAGTGAATTTAGGAAGACTACCTGAGGAACTGGGAAAGATGGATGATGGTGGCACGGTTCGAACCCAGGACAGCCGAGCCGCTATTTTGACGACAATAACCACTGACGGTCATATTTTGTCTCAGGGTGTTGGAGGCTCGCAATTTATAGGTGGTAAACTGAGAAAGGAAGTTATTCCGATTTAAAATCAAACGAACATATGAAATTTGTTCCCACGCAAGCGGACATCTTGTTATCGCATTTTTATTTGTTACACTTACACATTTCGCATTGCGATTGCCTTTAAATTTTGCTTTCTGCCGCAGTCGAAGGTCGCCTCGTCCAGGATTTGGCATCCAGTACTAACCGTCCTCAGGCTCGTCTACCTTCTCGCCCGAGTAAGCCGATCAATCGGGCTACAAATCTGCGAGATCGAATCGCCGAAGTGTCTAGTGGGGTGGATCAAACCGTGTCCAAAGCCCATGCCGCCATCGCCGCTGCTGCCGCGTCTGACTCGCATCATCAACTACACTCACACTATCTGCTTCAGTCGCATCAGGTTGACATGTCTGACTGGAATGTGTATATACCCGGTTTATCCCGTCCGGAAATTCAGCCCACTCGTCGCCTAATCGATCAACTGACCTCGAACACAGTTGGTGTGCATGACTCGAACTCTTTCCGGATGCGCTTGTTTGACGACTCAAACTCATCCAGCGAGACGAAGGCGAATGTGACCCGGACACCACAACTTTCCCCGCAGTACATGTTCACCGTGCGTACAGAACGCTTGGTTAATGGCGTACGACAGCCAATTGCTCGTGTAGATCGGTGAGTTGTAGTTCATTTTTCTCTTTACATTCCTTTGAAGATTCTGGTAGAGTGATTGAAATTTCTTGACAAAATGGCGTTCTCAGCGTCTTAACATCCATTTTCCTTCTTCTAACGTCCAAAACGGTAACTGTAACTTTGATTACGATTACCAAGGCGAAAATTATAACTAAAGCCGTTGTTCAGGTTTATCTTACAATCGGTTGATCTATTCATCTCAGGTTTTCAATTTTTTGACGGTGGTTTTGAGCAGGTATCCATAGTTCCCAGTGTCCTACTTTACCATGTTTGTATCTCCCCTTCAAGGGATTGTCAGGCTCATCTTTTTGAGTGTTATTGTCGTTGGTGTAGTCTTTTTGACAATGCACTTGTAACACACCCAGGTGGTAGGAAAGCCTTTTTGTTCTGAACCTTTTGCCCTGCTTGCCTCTTTTCAATCATTATTTTGCGAGAAAGCTCTTGGTTGTTTGACGACTGGTATTTGAGGAGTGCGACAGGAGACAATGAAAAGATATGCTGTGTGGTACACGCCCTCCTCGGTGAGTAATATTTTGTTCAAATGTTGGATCGAAGTCATCCACACTGAGCGTCGAATCACTTTCCCTCCTGTCTGGAATTCACTTTCAAGCTGAACAATTAAAAAAATTCCTGGTGGAATGAATATGAATCGTTCTCTGCCCTTCCCTCCTTTTCTTTTAATTTGTTCGTCTCTGTTTCTTTCTGTACCACTAACCTGTGTTCATTCGCCTCCCCTCCCCGCACACATTGTGGGTTCTTGTTCTTAAACAACAGACATGATTATAATGTGTTCCTTCCCTCTTCACTATACTGGTGAACTATTCATTTTCATCTTGGTTACCACACAACACCTTGCGCACACGCACGTGCAGTTTGTTTTCTGTCCGTTTCTGTCTCTCGTGCTGCCGCAACAATTTATGCTCGATCTTCAGATGAATAGATGTGTTTGTGTGTGCGTGCGTGTGTGCAAACAGATTTGTTTTCTCCATCTTTTCCAACTCATTGTAATGAGCTTGATCAATATTTCCATCGTCTGATCCCAACACACCACCAACCCGTCCGATTGCGAACAAAGATCGATTGAATCTCTTCGCCATTGAGTTGACCTCGTTCTGGGGTGTGTTGGTTTGGTGAAAGTCAATAATGAAGCGTGTCCTGTCCAATGGTTTCATCTCACGACTTCTGTTGCATGTGGCATGCTAGAATGGTGTGTTGAGTGAGGTGAACATCGAAAACAATCTTTCCCTCAAATATTGGCTTCGTGGAAATTGATAATATGTATGCATGTATGTATGTATGTATGTATGTATGTATGTATGTATGTATGTATGTATGTATGTATGTATATGCATGTTAGGCAAAGCAAAACTCATTTGCAGCTCGGGGAGTTGATCCGAGACGAATAGGCCTTGAAAACTCATTACAATGATTCTGTATTGAGTTTTGTCTGTTAGATGCGTTGGATGGGCCGATTTTCAGTGTTTTTATAATGAACAACGTATGAATGACTGGACAGACTTTTCGAGAAGCACACGCTCGGTTTCACCGCCGTTGCCACTCGTCAGGTATGCGTATCCTGTAATCTTTGGTCTGTTCATCTTCATACTTGAACACTCAGTATAGAATCATCGCAACGATCCTTCAAGGCTTTTTCGTCTCGCAGCTGCAAAGGGATTTTCATTGCCTAATCAACATCGGGAGTAAATGTATAAGAACGACCATACAGAAGTTTACCGTATACGTATATCTGACGAGCGGCAAGGACCACAAAACCGATCGAGCGCTTGTAGGATATATATATATATATATAAACACCAATCTTTACAGATACGGTGCCAAAATAACCATGGGCGAACGAAAAAATATAGTTCCAAAAGCGGGGAAAATGAAACAGTCAATTTCGGGAAGTAACAGTTTTTTTTGTTTACTGCACGCTATTTTGAGTTTCTTTCTCAATTGTGTTTATTTTTGAGATTGCAAACAGGAAAGGATGCACTCGCATCACTGACTTTTGTTCGATGCCATATCCCGCAATGTCCCCAGTCAAAGACAATCTGAATCTTTGGGGCCCCAGCCGGGGAGTCGGGAGACCCCAACGGAAGCCAGATCCGGGCACAATCTCTTTAACCCTCTGCGCCACGTCATAGCCTGCCCACCTTGCTGTTTCTTCCAACCTGGACCGACATCTGCGAATAGTGCATGGTGTGGCAGACGTTGCTCAGGCATTTGTAGGATGTGCCCTAGTGCTAGACTATCTGATCCTAGCACCCGTCGTCTGACGTTATTTACGCGATGCTCCCACCATACGCGGGTGATGTTGTGCAGCCAACGGTTATCGAAAACGGATAGTCGTTAGACGTACTCTGCTCGGAGAGGCCAGGTTTCGCAGCCATAGAGCAACACGGTGCGTACCGTTGCGCAATACACACGCCCTTTCAGTGAAAGGGATATATCGCGCCGGCGCCGGAGATGCCTCAGATTAGCGAACGCTAATCTAGCTTCAATCACGCGTTGGGAGATCTCCTCGCCCACACCTCCGCTAGCCGTTATGCAACTCCCAAGGTAGACAAAGCTTTCGGCCACTTCCAGGGTGTCATTACCCAACGAAAGTGCAGGAATGGGTTCCTGCCAATTTTGCAACAACACTTTGCACTTTGAAGGTGCAAAGGACATATCATAGCGAGTAACCTCAGTGGTATAAGTCGATAATCGTATCGATTTACACGAATTTTCAAACATCCTCTCATGAAAATTACCGAAGAAATGATTGGATTAACGTTGTCTTTAAACTTCGCGCGGGCACCGCTGTCTAAACTGCATTGTTTTAGCTTTGTGGGGCAACCGCTGTTGCTGACTGGATCAAGTGGTCGACTTCGATATTATTCTTTGTCTGGGGCATTTGGTACACGTGTGACCAAATGGGTTGCCTTGATATACGATATTTATCGAGACAAGTAGTGGGGCGAGGATGAAAGTCAGGATTAGTTAAAGGAAAACCTAGTTCGATGATATAGAAGACCTTACTAGGGGACTCAGTCATTGCCTTAGGCTTCCTGGATAGGGACCTCGGGATATTTGTATTAAATTGCTAGAGACACTGAGTCATATTGGGTTAGCATCGTTAACAGTGAGACTCGAGTATTAATATCTTACAGTCATCCCATGTGAATCTTTGTCTTAACATGTTCACTGTTCCAAACATTCCAATCTTCCCTCTATTCATTCCTTCATTCCTTCAAACGAACAGCCAAGGGACATTAACCGAGTTTCTGGGGATCGGTTCAAAAGTTATGGTTGCAGAAACTCAGGATAAGCTGAAAACTCATGGTGTACAAAGTTGTGGTAACATAAGAGGACTGAGCAAAGAGTTTTCTCGAGGTATTCTGCACCTGTGTTGAGGCACAGTTCCGTGTGCTGAAACCATTTGGTGAAACAGCTCTAACACGCCGAAGCGTGTCACCCTTTCAGTCGGTCCACCAAAGTCCCCCACTGCAGCTGCTGGTGATTCGTTTAGGATTCCACGCATCATGTGCTTGACATTTGGGAACACAGTGCTTCATGAAGACCTGTCATCATCAAAGGCAGCTCGCAAACGGTCAACACTCTGCTGCTGCTTTAAACCACATTTGTAGTCTCGGAAAATCATCGCTCTGTCATGACATCTATTCAGTTTCATCCTCACAGTTCGAGTATAACTAACCTCATGACTTGTGACTTGTGCCTGATTGTTGATAATTGATTCTGTGAGTTGAAATCACTGAATAATATTCACAATAAATTACAATTCACGTTTGCCTCGCCCGGCCATCTGTACCTCATACTCGTGTACTGCGTATCCGGAAACGACTCTCGGTTTAATGCTTGGTTATCCTATAATTATCTTTCTGTCATCGGTGAAACCTTGTTTTTTCGGTGGCCATTGGCATTGGAACTGTTTTTGTGCCTCAGTTAGCATAAGATACTTTGATTTTTTTGAGCACTACCACCTTGGCATAGTTTGATGTTTCTGACAAGATAAACCTAAAATCTGTTCGAATCACGTGTTGAGTACTAATAAGTTGGGGCCGTCATGAACCGTTGTTCCAGACCGCCCCGATGTTCGTCGTCTGGATATTATCTGAGCCCCCGAATGCCACCGGCATTATTCTAATCACCAAAGTACACTGGATACAACATACATATTCCGCTTGGACAAGTTTGTTGCTTTTGTGGGAGTATATCTCAATGCCAGTCCTCATTTGTGTGTATTCAGTCTCATGGGATATCTAGCTGTGTTTGTTTTTTCGTTACATTTATATCACCATATAGATGATGTTCATAAAAGCAGTACTGCGTGTTTAATAATTCAAGGACTACGCGTTATCACTCGATTCAAATGATACGGAATTCAATAGATTTGTTCGGTCATGCTGATCCAATTCTAACGTATGCTCTGTGTAGTTGGATTTAAAAAAAGCAATACCACTGCATGTGTCTTCTGACTCACTGTGAACTGCTTGTGTGTGATGTTGTGACAGTAGTGTCGTGACACACGCTAGCCTTTTTTCACAAATCCCGGTTTGTAAGACATTTCGAATATTAGAATAACCAGGTAACACGTGAGGATAGTACCGTTTCCCTCGAGCAATCTGTTGGTCAAATCTATATCCCCCCTCCACAACAACTTTTCGTGATCTGCTTAATCATCGTGAGATCTGAATAATCAGTTTTAAACTGATTGGCGATTCTTTATCCATCGATAACGAAAAGGAATCAACACTTACTGATCGATCGATCGATCAATCAATCAGTCATCAATATAACCGACCTCCTCCTCACCACAAGTTTTCGGAATACCTGTTAAAATAAAGAATTGTGGAATGAATAACTAACTGCACTGGTTCTGTTCCCGTAATCGGTTCTATTCTTTTTCCCGTTTTTCATTTCCGTCGTTCACGCAGTCGACTGCGCTGTCCACTGCTCATGGTAGATGAACCGAACGCGTGAGAGATCTGAGCAATAAACCTACCCGATCTATGGGGATCGCGTGTTTTTGGTGTGTGGGTGGGTGGGTTGGCGGGAAATGTGGTGTTCCACGGACTGTACAGCTCTCACTTCCTGAAAGGTATACCACGATCTTTACCCCCTGTTGCCGTGTTGTGTATGTGTGACTCCATTAGCACACATCTATAAGTTTCGTTTTTCTTGTGTTAATGTGGCATATGCCTGTAGTGAACGAGAGAGAAAGAAGATCGAACTGAATGAAAAAACAAATCGGACAAATCTAAAACTGGAATCGGGCTTTCTGTTGTGGTGGTAGTAATGCGAATTTGATCTTTAATGGACTGTATCTGTGGCTAAGTTTAACCATCTCATGTTTCCCCCATACTCTGGGGTGTATATGACGTTGCAACATGTGCATCAAGGGACAGTGAGGGGACGAGGAGCTGTGGTGAAACAAAAAGAAAACAACGAATTGTGAAACCTATACAGTTTAGTCGTATTTTGTACAGACTTACCTGAACACATCTTTTTATCAGTTTTGAACTCTAAGCCCATAAATAGAGCATCCCCATCTCACCAACTCTGTTCCAACTGCTAATCCGTCAATGAACCGACGGGCATTTGACATTTGCCTATTCACGAGTTGATCACTCCCCCGTTGCGATGCGTCCTACCTCCCCAAGTGATCCTTGAAGTGACCTATCTACTGGACAATCTTGACACGGGTTTTTTATTTGTCCCACGCAAGAAAATCGCTTTTATTCGCATATACCCATTTTGAAGGCGTTCCCACCCGGTATGATCAAGCGCTCATTGTGGGTTCAGAATAAGGTCTGCCACGTCAAGCCCCGTGGAACAGGTTGTCGGTTCCCATGCGTGAACAGCAGGACCTCGTAACTGTCGTGTTTCATCCCCTGTACTGTTCATCTCTCATTAGTGTATGTACTAGAGAAAAACTACGATTGCGTGTAGTTTTATGGTGTCACCTGTCGTTCAT